AAAAAAAAAAAAAGATATTATTATTAAAATTCCAAGCAATGATTATTTATAGACTCTAAGAAAATAAATTGGTGAATAAAAAAGACAGCTCGGTGCACAAAGTATCACGTGTTCATGTAGGGGTCCGGGGAAGGGCCGCACCCCATAGGGGTGTAATATAGATAGCCTACCCTAATGCAAGAATCAGTGGTTGATTCCACAACTCGAATTCATGACTTATAAGTCACACGAAGATAACTTTACTATTGCTCCAAGACTCCCCTTCATAAATTAGCAAATAGCATAAATATTTGCTATTTGCACTAAGTTACATTGAAACTTATTGTTTAAATTCTTTATATCATCAATGTATATAAAAGAAATATTTCTAAGTTCTATAGTTCAAAGTAATTAGGTATGTCTAATAACTTACATTATGTAGCTGGATAGGTTAGGCATTACGTCTCCCTAGTCCATATCTTATTTTTTGGATCTTAATATATAGGTAGGGGTTAATATTGGCCTTAACCCCACCACAATGATGTGGATTTGAATTTAAAAAATGTTATAAGTTCCAATTCCGTGGGCTGATAATCTTTTATTTCTCCCTATAATTAGCTCCTGATCCTCTTCTTTTTTTTAGAAGCTATTGTGGTAACTAATCAACCTGGCTCCTTATATCCTTATTGGGTAAGGTGGCCCAGTGTTAAGTTTCTTCTTTTTAGGTTGACTACCTGGTCTAAATTAAAATAATGAGGATGAGGACTACTAGTTTGCTTGGCTTTCCTTTTTTTTTTTGGGCCAAAATTACTTTTTTTAAGTGAAAATACTTATTTTCAAAGTTAAGATATTTGGACAAGCTTTTAGAATGAGAAAAGTATTATTAAGTAGAAACAGAAATAGTTTTTGGGAAAAATACGTTTAGAAATAATTTTTAAAAGCTTGGTCAAATACGAATTGCTGCTCAAAAGTGTTCTTCAAATTGATTAGCCAAATACAACTTCTTCTCACTGAAAATACTTTTTTGAAAAAAATACGTTTAGAAACACTTTTTAAAAACATGATCAAATATTAATTCATGCTCAAAAATATTCTTCAAATTGATTAGCCAAATATAATTGCTTCTCATTGAATATACTTTTTTCAAAAGTACTTTTAAAAAAAAAATTTAAAATAAGTTAATTTAAAAGCACGGCCAAACATGCTATATATGAGACATCTCCCAAAAAAAATGCCAAATGCATCCATTAGAAAGTAATTTTCAATTGATACACTTTCACTTTATTTGGGGGACATATCTTACTAGTATAATAGAGTACTGGATCCTCAAGTAAGAAGCCCCACAACGTCAAAAAACCATCATATCAAATTATCAAACCAGCATTTCAATATTTTTTAAAATAAGCTAATTTTAAAAGTACCGCCAAACCGACTATAAGTTATCTCCCATAAAACATGCCAATGCATACATTAGAAAGTAATTTCAATTGATACACTTTCAGTTTTTTGGGAGACATACCTTGCTATTATAAAGTACTGGATCCTCAAGTAAGAAGCCCCACAACGTCAAAAAAAACCATCAAATCAAATTATCAAACCAGCATTGCAATTCATGTACTACTTCCACTTTTTAGGAGAATACCCTTTCCTATCCAAATCGGCAGCACCCAAATATTGTCGGACAAATTGAACAGAGTTTGAATCAAAAGCTGCTAAACCTAATTAATTAATAAACATAATTAGTGGCAAGTTGATCCCCACTATTATCAGATTCCCACATTGGTCATGAGTATATTAATTGATCTTGGACATTTTTGCCTAATGAGCTAATTTTTATGTGTGTTCGGCTCAAGATCTATTTTTCATCACCCATTTTAATTCTTGACTAACAAATTTAGAACCTCATATTTTATTACATTCACCCTCCAGATGTCTGAGTATCAACATCAGTTGTGTCATGTGTGAGCTAACTTTTGTGAGTTGATTTAGGTTCAACATCAATTTCTTATCAATTATTCCTTCGATTCTAAATGTTAATCATTTCGCAAACTAAATTTATTTTAGATATTTAATATTTTAGATAAACAAGAAGCATTTATTACTTTGTCAAATTTATCCTTACTGCTTCAGTTAATAGAGCGTCAATTAAGGAATTCATCGTTACTAGCATTTTTTGGCATGTTGCAGGAGATGTTAGGAATCATTCCCTCACTTTGATTTCTAGCTAGCTTTTTGTTGTTTTGTTTCTTTTTCAAAAGAAAAAATTAAAATTAAGGGATACACTTAAGAGAAAATAAAATGCATTTTGGACAAATAATCTTACAATTAAGGCAATTAATTCTTTTTTTAAGAAGTGCAAGGAAACCTAAAAATGGAGTACAAAAAATGGCGTAGTTTTAATTTACAATTCACAATTTCAGCATACCTCAGAAGAAATAAACAAGGAAAAAACTTCTTGTCATATGGATTCTCGTATATAGGCTAAACAACTTTGTCCTACATATTTAAAACACTAGCACAGTTCTCGCTACATTGCAGGAGAGCTTCTCAGGGTTTTGCCCCAAGAGCTAATTAAATTGATATACACTCATACCTCTCTATATAAAATATGATCGCTATATAATAATCGTTCATTATAAAAGTCAAATTTTTATAGAACGATAGTTTTCATGATATGTTATAATATATGTTTTAGTATATAACATTATTTCATTATAACGACAAAAAAAATTCGGAACAAATGAGGTTATTATAGAAAGATTTAACTATATATATATATATATTATATTTGTTGCCTATTTCTAATTTAGGTAGTTGGGTGAGCGACTATTAAGGTTAATTATTCAGCCAAAAAAAAAAAGTATTACAGTACACCAGTACTTGCTTAGTTTAGTTCGTTATTTCACCAAATTTATTCCTACTTATCAAATTGTGCAAAACACAAGAACCTCTCCTTCTATAGGGAGAGATGTAGAAAAGAAAACAAGAAGATTTAGATATAGAGTATCATGATTGTAACTTCAATATACAGACAGAGTAAAAGATTTTTCACACAATCAAATTACCTAAAGGATAACTACTCATACTGTCCTTAATATGTTACAAGTAACGGTATTCTGCAACATATTAAATTAAATACAAATAGTGTATAATTTCTATATACTACGACTGTATGTATGAAATCCAATCAGTATGACACACATACACACACATTAAATAAAATATAACAGTGAAAATTCTGAGTACCTGAGGCTGCTCAGTCCCCTTGAACTGGAAACATCAGAGAGAGGAACATGAAAAGCTTCCGACCAAGAAAGTTGTCGAAGGCAAGTAGCTGTCGGCGTTCCCCAACGGTAACTTCCTTCGGAGAAGTTAAGATTCTTGTCAATATCCATTTTCTCATTAAACGGCTTCTTGAAAAGCTTGACTTGTTCCATTCTCATTTTGGCCAAAATATCATGTGAAACTCCATGGTTTATCACTTGGAAAAAACCCCATTCTTTTGAAGCTTTGGCTATTTTTCTCTTGCACTCTCTTCTCTCGAATTCGTCTCCATAATTTAGTTGGTCAAGATCGACAAGAGGCAACTCGCATTTCTCCACTAAGAAGAGGTTTTCGTAATTGTTTGAATCATTTTCATTACTTATGTTGTCAAAAAGATTCTTGTATGTCTCTTCAAACGGAGGATCAGGTGATTCTTCCATGCTTATAGTCTGAAAAGAAAGTGGTGTCAGAGAATACCATGAAAACTGCAGAATGTATATATAGGAATTTGCGATATATATATATATTTCACCTATGCGTTTAATTTAACCTAGATGCGGATCATGATATAAACTTGATGATTTTAGTTTTTATCTTTGCTTATATTGATGCTTGATGCTGAACTCATTGTACTTCTAAATATATATGCATTCTAAGTTGGTTGAACCAATTTAAGCAGAGGTGCGACCATAATTTGAATTTTATGGGTTCGAGATTCTAATTATTTTTAAGTTACTGAGTTTTAAATTAATAATTTATATATATTTAATAAATTTCGTAAAATAAATACATGGTTTGAACTAAAACTAGTGGGTTCGACCGAACCCGTAACTTGTTCTCTATAATCCTTTCGTTTTACTTTATATGATAACTTTTGAATAGACACGAAGTTTTAAAAAAGAATGAAGACTTTGGAAACTTGTGATATAAAATAAGCCATTAATATTTGTATGGTAAAACAAAAAATTTAACTTAAATTGTTTCCAAATTCAGAAAGCTATCATCCTTTTTGGAACGAACTAAAAAGAAAATGTTGTCATATTTAATTAAAACAAAATGACTATTTTTTATCATGTTATCAATTAATTGTTTATCAACGATCTTTACCTGTAATATACCTTATAAATAGTTTAATTATGCAAATATTTCTTTACCCCGTGTATGCATATAATATTACATAAACTCTTTGCTAATAGCGGCAAGAAATTTGACCCAAAATTCTCTTTAAGTTGTGTTGTAACTAAAGATGAGGAAGAAAAGAGAATCAAATTAAGACCATATTTCTGAAATTTCTGATTCTATGTTTTTTGGTCAGGTAAATTTGAAAGGCAATGGAGACAAAGAAGATGCATGTCTTTTACTTGGGAGGGAGGTGGTGAGGGGAGCAAGGAGCCTTGTGCACCCAAACAGAGACCAATAGGGGGGCATTTGGCATTTAAAAATTGAAGTGTTGCACTTCGTTAATGGAAAATGATGTTGTATAAGCTCTCTAAATAATAGCTAAAATATATGTTATATATATATATATATATATATATATATTGTATATTGTATATTGTATATTATATAAGAAATTATATAAATTTTATAATTTTTTTCGGACGGTGACAATACCCTTTTCTTTAATTGGTCAAAGATGGTATGATGATAGTCTATGGTTCTCCGTCACAAATCATGGTACACATGCTTTTATTAATATTGACTGCCTCCACACTCGTGTATTATTTAATTTTCGTGTTCCCTCTAATTTTCCCCGGGTGTTAGGTGGGTTTATTTTACCTTTTACCTTTAACACTTTTTCCTTTATAGTTAGTCCTAAAAATATTATACTTTTTAAATTTAATAATAATAATTTAATTTTTAAAATACTCACTTTATTCCTAGAGCCGGTGGAGGATTGCGTACATATTACCATCTCTGCCTCCCAAGACACCTCTTGTGAGTTGTGAGAATACACTAAGTTTACTGTTTTTGTTATTGTTGTTATTATTTCTTTACCTTTAATAAAATTATTTAAAGCTACACAAATATTTATGACTTATTTTAAATAACAAGTTTCAAATATCTTATTTTCTTTCTTAAACTCCGTGATCGAATACTAAGTCAAATATTATCACATAAATTGGGATGGAGGGAGTAATATCCAAAGTGTTAAGTTTTATGCATTGATAGGGTTAAAATATTTATACAATTAAGCACAAAATAGTTACGTGTAAATCTCTATGATAAGTATCACTCTCTCTGTTTCAGTTTATGTGAATCTTTTCAAAAGGGTATTGACTAATTTTCAGTATAAATTTTGACATAAAATTTTTAAAATACAATTTACATGTTTAGAAACTACATAAAAAGTATTATACGTCACAATAGTTAACAATTAAATAGTTAACAATTAAAAGTATAAAAAATATGGTCAAAAAAATATTATTTGACTCCCAAAATAATAATAAGTTTACATAAAAATGGAACAGAAAGAATACTTGTTAACCTGATAAAATAATAACTAATCTACCATTAATAGTGCAGCTACACTAATAATAATATAAAGATACAGGTGCATGACGTACATTGGCGGCAGGTCATTTATGAGATGATATAAAATTCTTTCTTACTTGGTTTGCCTGTTGTGAGACTTTTGAAGACTTTGTCATGACTTTTCCTCAGACGAGCAGAAAAGTGTAGAGCTTACACTCGGCCTGTTTAACTAAAGAAGGAATCCAAATAAACATATGATCAGTTATAATACAAACTCAAACCCCAAAAGAAAAGAAGAAGAGATTAAATCGTTTGCATGGCTATATGAAAAAGAGACAACAAAAAGTGAAAGAAAATAGCGTGATAACCAAACAAGAAGATTGGGCGTTAGGACCACGGAGGATCTAAGAATCTTTTTAACAAGAATATATACAAAAAACAAATATAAAAAGCTGATAATTGTCGAAAATGGAATTAAAATAAATAAATGTGTAATTTCACTAACAGATTAAATTTATAAATTAAATGATCATATAATTCAACTTATCAGACCAGGCAAGAGGTTCTGGGTTCGAATCATTTTGTCATCAATTTTAAAAATAACTTTCATGTGCTTGAGCCACGATAAAAAAGAACTTTAGCGTGATGGAGCGTATCGAATATATAATTAAGTAAATAGAAGTATTTTTATTATTCTACCAACGCAGGAAATACTACTATACTCACAAGGAGATAAAACCAAGTAAACAAAGAAGGCTTACTACTACTTACTTGGAGAATAAAACTAAGTAGAAAGAGAAGGCTCTGAAGAGGCCGCAGCAGAAGCAAGAAAAGAAAAGATATTTCTTGGAATTAGTGTATGAGGCTGCTTAGCTAATCGTTTTGCAGTCCATAAAGATTGGACGATATTTTTATAGGGAAAGCAAAGGAGTACTGCAGAGGGAAAATAATATCAACAGTAGTTATTACATGTCAAAAATATATATGCTTTAGGACGGAACTAGAGTGTCTGGATCGGATTTGACTGAACGCAGTAACTTTGGTTCGAACATTATATTTGTCTTAATAAAATTTATTGAATATATATAAATTATTAATTTCGAACCCAGTAAATAATTAGAATTTCGAACCCATAAATTTGAAATTCTGGCGTCGCCACTAATATACTTGTAGGATTGAGTGTTTATGTATAGAAAGAAGAACACGCGGCTCATCAAGAAATCAGAGAAATTCTTCTGCCTTTTGTAGCAAATATCTTTACTAGTGATGTTTCCATTTTTGCTCTATATATTGCTGTAGATTGATAAAGAGTGATACATTTTCATTGGCTAATTAAGAAAAAGAACAATAGATGGTTTGAATTTTGGGGTTTGGTCGTTAAGGGAAGAAATTAAATTTTACTTTTGCCATGCTAAGTACTCATAACACACAAACAACAATAATATACACAGTCTGATCCTACAAATGAGGTCTGAGTAAGGTAAAATATACGCAAACCTTAACCATATATCGTATGAGATAGAGAGTCAATAACAATAATAATATACCCAGTGCGATCCCACAAATAAGATTTGGGAAAGATAAAGTATACGTAGATCTTATTCCTATCTCGTATGGAAAAGTAAGATTGTTTACTATAGACACTCGACTTAAACTCATAACACACGATTGAGATCAACCAATAATATCAAAATGGTTGTTGAAAATCAAACTTAATTTCACATCACAAACAATATTGTTTCATTTGGTTCTCATTGCTCCAAGTCTTGCCTCCCTTCATCATTCAATACTTCTGAGAGAAACAGGACACATGATAAATTTCTGGACCGGTCCCAAACATGAAAAAACATGGGGGGGGGGAAATAAAAAGAAAAAGACACTGTATTTTAAGAATTCAGAAGCATTTATCAGAATCCATGTCGGCAATGGCACGTCACATGTGGCATAAATCAAAGTCTCATGTTTCGTCTGAAATCCACGTCGGCCACTGCAGCAAAGGAAATTTTTTTTGCAGTCTGAGAATTGAAGGGCTTCCATGTGCACTGCTTTGATGCAGGATACAAGTACTGATGATGGGTAATTATTTATTGTACCACACACAAGGATTTTTATACCAAGGGGTTTAGAAGCAGAATATTGAAAAGTAAATATACGAATAATTTAGGAGATTCAATATATATTATATATAAGTGGTGGAGCTAAAATTACATTGTATAGATAGGTCAAATTGATTTTTATTGTATATATACACACACACTATATGTTGACTCCCTTTGGTTTCTCCGTGTATTTTTTACTTTATATTTTGGCACCCCTTAATTAAAAATCGGGCTCCACTACTGGTATATATACATAATATTTTACCTATTTATACAATATATTTTTTGATAAAAAATGTCAATTAATTAATATCCCTTGGACAAGGGTGGCTTCGACACTGCATACCCTTAGGGGTCGTTTCGTAGCATGTTAGAGAGAGTTATCCATGTATTAAAATTATGATAAATTTATACATTATTTGATTACAAAAAAGGAAAAAATAATCTCCATATAGAATCTAGCATAAGTTATACAATGGTTGATTGGTTTTTTCTCTTTTTCACATAAAACATAATACTACTAATACAATATTTGGTTTATATTTCTCTTTTTCGCATAATTAATACATGTATAAGTTATGAGAGAATCTATTTATTACTTTATGCAGGGTAAAATATAGAACAACTTATACATATATTAGTAATACTTGTAAAACCTAAAATGACAAGAATACCCTCTATTCAAACTTTTATATTTTTATTTATGAAAATACATATATACTAATAATTTTAATAGAATAAGCTAGACTAAAAATAATCAGTACATACATTATATTTATATATTACTAATCTTGTCCCGAATATCTTCATTCATAATCTTATCTCTCCTGGTATGTCCACACATCCACCTCAGCATCTATATTTTTACTACTTTTAACTTCTGGACACGAGAGTTCTTGACTGGTCAACACTCCGCCCCATACAATATAGTCGATCTAACCACCACTCTATAGAACCTACCTTTAAGTCTCGGTGGTATATTTTTATCACACAAAATACCAGAAGCGGGCCTCTATTTCATCCATACCGCTCTTATTCAATGTGTGAGATTATCATCAATCTCCCATTACATTGGATGAATGGCCCCAGGAACTTGAAATAGCCTCTCATGTCGATAACTTGCGTATCAAGACTCACTTCCATGTCCATTTCATGCTTCACGATACTGTATTTGCACTCCAAGTAATCTGTTTTGGTCTTGCTCAATTTAAAACTTTTTAACTCTAGGGTCTGTCTCCAAATCTCCTACCCCGTTGTAACTCCACTTCGCGTCTCATCGATCAATAATATGTCATCTACAAATAACATGTACCAAAGGACCTCTCCCTTATATGTCGCGTCAACATGTCCATCGCTAAGGCAAATAAAATATGTCTCTTCTATTTTTGAGAACCAGTTAGATTTCATACTGTGGTGACAAACTACTGAGGCCATTCACCTTGTTAGGAGATTGGTATAGAAGTATGGAGATAAAGAGAGATTTGCATATGATGTTTATTGACGTAGAAAAAACATATGATAAAGTCTCAATAGAGGTCTTATGGAGATGTTTGGAGGTGAGCGGTGTACCTGTAACATATACTAGGATGATTAAGTACTTGAAAAATATAGCTAAGATCGGGGTTAAGATAGTGAGAGGAGACTTAGACCACTTCCAGTCATGGTGGGGTTACATCAGAAGTCAGTTCTTAGCCCATTTTATTTGAGTTAGCAAGGGACGTACTGACACAACACATTCAAGGGGAGGTCCCTTGGTGCATATTATTTGCAGATAATATAATACTGATCGACGAGATGCGAGGTGGAGTTATTAAGAGTCTGGATATTTGGAGACATACCCTGGAGTTAAAAGGTTTGAAGTTAAGCAGGACCAAAACAGAATGCTTGGAGTGCAAAATGTAGTTATGTGAATCTTGAAATGAATTTTGAAGTGAGGCTCGATACGTAAGTTATCACTGAGAGGCAGTTTCAAGTACTTGGGGTCTGTCATCCAAGGTATTAGGGATATTGACGATGATGTCACACATCGTATAAGAGAGGGATGGATAAAATAGAGGCTTGCTTATGGTATTTTATGTGATGCGAATATGGCACCGAGACATAGAGGTAAGTTCTACAGAGTAGTAGTTAGACCAATTATATTGTATGAGATGTAGTATTGGCCAATCAAGAACTCCTATATTCAAAAGTTGAAAATTGTAGAAATGAGGAGACTGAGGTGGATGTGTGGGCATGCTAGGAGGGATAAGATTAGGAATGAAGATATTAGGGACAAGGTAAAAATGGCTTTCGTAGTGGACAAGTTGTGAGAAGCGAGGCTGAGATGGTACGGGCATATGAATAAGAGAAGCATAGATGTCCTAATAAGGAGGTGTGAGCGGATGTTCATGGGGAGTTTGAGGAGAGGGTAGAGGTAGACCAAAAAAGTATCGGGAAGAGGTGATTATACAAGACATGACGCTACTTCAACTTTTAGAGAACATGAGCCTTGATAGGAGGACATAAAGGTCGAGAATTAGAGTAGAATGTTAATAGGTAGTTGAGTGTCTTCTATACATATCAATATTATTAGTATTATTCTCATTTTTCTGATTTCTAGATTTTACCACTATATGATGTTTCTCTCATCCTTGGTTATTTTATCATCTTGCGTGTTGTTGTTGGTATTTCTTCCTTTTGCATCTTTTCTTATGCCGAGAGTCTATCGGAAACAGTCTCTCTACCTTCACAAGGTAGGGATAAAGTCTGCGTACACACCACTCTCCTCAGACCCCACTTGTGAAATTTAACTGGATTTATTATTGTTGTTATTATTGTTGTTGTTGTTGTAATCCTTACATAACTACCGTATAACTAATTTGAGTAATTAAGTCCCGCACATAACTAATTCATGTATAACTACTCCCCGCATAACTAATATATGCATAATTAATTCCTACATTACTAATACTTGTATAACTCTAACTAACAACTAAACGATCTTTTAGGCTTCATTACAACACTTAAAAGGTCTTTCGTGTTGACATAATTGTGCCAACATGTTCATTTATAATCTTCTTATATATGTGTCATGGCCAATAGAATTAATAAATTGTTCTTGTCTCATATAGCACTTTACGTTTTTTTTATTATTTTGAGGTTTGGGTTTTCCATTCAAAAGGTTTTTGTTCTAGATGTCCGTCAAATATAGTATTGTATATGGTCGAAGTCGAGCGCGCCTACAACTTGGTAGATTAGGCTTGTCACGTGGCAACCAAGGACTGAAGATCGATCTCGAGTCCCACCAAGCTAGGACCCAAGGTCGGAACGCCTGCCTTCGACTAGCGGTGAGTCCGGTGTTGACCTTAGCCTCGAACGAGCTCGGAGAGAGATTGTTGAGATAACTAACAGAAGACCGAAATATCCGTGATCGGTCGGATATTGTGGCGTGAATCTCGGCACGTATCAATAAGGAACATGCGATCAACAAATCAAGAGATTTTTTACCTTTTATAGGATTGTACCTAAAATATGACTCCTCTACTATATAAAGAGGGGTCTGATAATTCATTGAACATACTGTAACTCGCATTCCAAAACAATACATTATTTTTCTCTTTAAGTTAATATTATTTCTTTAAGTTCTCGTCTCTTTTGTCTTGATATCGATCGAAGCACCAGGGCTCGAGGGTGATTAATTCTTCAGGGCTAAGACTGCTCAATTCGTGTGGTTTGCATTTACTTTTTCATTACTTATTTCAATTATAATCTAATTTATCGTTTTGTATCAAGATAGATCATGTATCCTGAAAACCACTTACAAATTCAATTGTTATCCAATTTGGAGGGTAA